GAAAACATTCATAATTTTAATTTGATAAGACAGTTTATGGGTATATAAATTTGGTAATATAGTGTTCCAAATCTCGAACTTGAATCAAATCCGAATTTCTATGATTTGCACAAGAAGTACCACTAAACTAAACGAGAATAAAAGAGAATACTTGTTGTGGTTTTTAGTGTATTCAGTTATATATGGTTTATCACATTGGTACATTTATTTTTATTCAATGAAGATAAAACCATTTCGTTATATTTTCATCCAAAAGTGGTCGACTGTTTGAATCTTTTGCAAGAACCGGTGGAAGGCAAAATCCTCTCGTCTACTTGGAAGCTCACACTTTTCTCTTCAAGTGAATTTAACTTAAGACTAATAAAAGATGAACCACAAACGGATTACAAAATAGGATCATAGAACACTCCATCTATTATTCGCAATAAAAGTCTCAAAAAACCGAAATTAAACCATATCAAACCAAAACCTGAAGCTGATACTTAGCCAAGGATAGTGGTTTCAGCGATCATGGAGGTCACAAGATAAGGATCCATATTAGACGAAGGCCTTCGATCCTCGAAATATCCTTTACCTTCTTTCTCTGTATCTCTTCCAACTCTCACCGATGCTCCACGATTCGCCACTCCCTATTATCAAGTAAAACCAAAACGTTATACGATCACAAAACCAAGTTCTTGATTTGATTTGATACGATTTTGTACCCAAGAGAAAGAGTTGATATCTGCAGTTTCATGCTTCCCGGTGAGTCTCCTCTCGTTGCCTTCACCATAAGCCGCAATGTGCTGTTTGTGTTTCACTTCAAGCTTCTCTATCGCTTTCTTAATCAAATCTAATCCTCCGTCTTTCCTCATCGATTTCGTACTGAAGTTTGTATGAGCCGCTGCTCCGTTCCAATCACCCTAATTAACCGCAATAGAAAAAACAACTTCAATTCAAGAAAACTCGTCGATAACTACGGAAACAGAATCTTGAATCCTGATCATGACAAACCTCGACTGGTTTCGGATCGAAGGAGACAATCACACCGCAAATCTCAGTGATCCTCTGTATAAAAAAAAAAAAAATTTATTCACATATGATATTAAACCAATGTTAGTTAGTGTAATGATTTAAAGATTAGTTTATATCGATTTTTCACCACCTCGAGAATGTAACGAGCAACCCATAATTGATCACCTGCACCAATACCAACAACAGTACTGATTTGAAACTCCCATTGTCCAGGCATGACTTCACCATTGGCACCACCAATACTTAAACCGGCGTAAAGACAAGCTTTGTAGTGAGCATCGACAATGTCACGACCAAAGGCTTTGTCTGCACCCACTGCACAGTAATACGGTCCCTATTTCCATCAAACACAAAATGCCGGTTTTCTCGATATCAGAAACTTGTTATTGATTTAAGACTTAAGTGTATGAATAAATGTACCTGAGGACCAGGATAACCACCAAGAGGCCAACCTAACGGCCACTTGATGTCTTTCTTAAGTAATGTGTATTCTTGCTCTATCCCAAACCTAATAAATAACACAGCCAAATTAAACAAACCGAAATCCATACCTAAACCGATTGGTAAACCCTGATTTAGTCAACTCAAACTGAATTAACAGAAAATTTTCAAGAAAAGATAATTTTAAAAAAAATTCACACATACTAAAATATACTTTTATTTATTCAACTAATAAAAAAAGGTCTTTTTGTTAAGGATTATGTAGTCTAGTGTCGTCATTGTGTTACCATCCGAGAACCGCATAAACTTATAAGACTTACCAAGGCTCTTCAGATTTCACATTGGGATGTTCGAAGATTTTGACGGCCTTGTGCCTATTGTTGGTCGGAATTGGATCACCGGCCGGTGTGTAAGCATCACACAGAACCTATAGGTTATAATCAAAATTTTGAAGTTTTAAGAATCCACTAATCAAAACTAATCAGATGAATCTTTTGCTTAAAAATTCAGATTAAATTTGAATTACCAGAATGTTGTTCCCTTTCCTGAATGGGTCTTTGAATATTGCCTGAGGACTTTTTTCATCCATTCCAAAAATGACATATTTTCATTAAAAAAATATCATTTGACTTAAAATTATGCATATATTATTATAGAAAGAAGTTGATTACTATAGAATGACTTCACTGTCATCTCCGGCGGCTTGACCGGTGCTGGATCCGTCGTAGTTCCATTTCGGAAGCTTCGATGGATCGCTTACTGGTCCTGGTAATGTCTATTAATAGAATAATTTTTTTTTATTAAACCAACAAAAAAAATAAACAGAGAAATGTTTAAATATGAATTTATTACCTTGGCTTTGCTTCTAATGTCCATACCAGATCCACCGATCCTGTTTCTCATGAAAGAAAAACAGAGTAAACACACAAACAAAAAAAGACTTTTATGTTGTAAACAGAGACATGCAAGATCATTAATTGTGTCAAAATCGAGAAACTATATGACATGCTGTTTTGAAATACCCATTAAGAGACTAAACGAAAAGAGACAACTTTTTTTCTAAATGCAAAGAGACGATTAGTGAAAATGATTCGGACCATATGTATTCAGCGATGACCTTCTTGGTGTCTGAGAGATCAAGGTTTAGGAGATCTGAGAGTGGAGACATGATTGTTATCTTGAGGAAAAAGATGATCAGAAAAGAAGAACAAAACCAGTCTTGAGATTTTGCTCTGTTTCTCTGTTTCACTCACACTCTTACTTTTACTTATGTTTTTATATAGAAGCGGCTAATTCTTCTGAGATCCTATTTTATTGGTTTTCCCCAACAATAATCGTTGAAAGCTCATAATTTTGTAATTATTATACTAATAAAACGGCAAATCCTGTAACTAAAAAGCTTTGAAATTAACTTACTCTGGATAATAATTACTTTACAAAAATCAATAAGAGACAAGACCAAGATATGAAAATCACTCACTGGTGTAAACAGGAGAAGAAGACAAGTGTTGAAGCTTGACATCACTCTAAAAGACACGTATCAAGAAGCACAAGGAGACAAAACACATAACAAAGCAACAACAGAGAAAGATCTCATCAAGAATTGAAGTTTTAGGAGATCATTTTATGACATTTTGCAGCCAAATTTCATTGCTCATGACTCAAAAACCAACTCTCAAAATGTTTATACAAATGCAATGAAAACTTAAAGAAAGCACAAAAAACCTAATGAAATGTGAACATTCACTAAAAACACTCAGATTTTTAGTAGTTTTCAGCTACAGGTCTTGAAGGGAAGAGACGCATAATGAATGTGATAAAAGACCAGAGACATAGAACTGCTAGAAACTGCAAAGTCACGACCAAACCAACGAGGGCGACGCCTCGCTCTGTAATTTCTACAGTCGTCGACGCATCTTTCATCATAAACATTAGTCTCTGAACAAATGTGGCTGCTCTTGTGATCTGATACACCCTATAAACCTGCATTTACACACAACCATAAGACTATGAACATTTTGGTACAATACTTGCGAAAATGGTTTCTCAAATCAGCATTATTAAGTTTCTTTTTGTTACCTCAAAGACTATTGGAACAATAGGCCAACAGGATGATCCGCGTCTTTCGAGCCGAGATTCGAAGAGTCGTTGAACCGCACAGCCAACCAAGAAAGGAAGCACTGCAATCAATGCGTCTAGTCCAAGAGCTGGCCAAGTCATGTATACAGCAAATAGAGGAACTACAACTTTTAAACCCATCATGAGAAATGCAGACATAAGGTATCCTCTCAGTCCAGTGATTAGACCCCATCTCTTGGAACTGAAGTCTAAGTATGGCCTCTGCACACGGTCAGTCACGGACAGGAATATCGCAAGACCAGCATAAAACGTTGTCTCAAAGCAGAAAGAAGTAACAATTTCTGCATCAAGGAAAACATCATTTACAAACCTGATAAGAGAGTGCATCTAATTCAAATGAATATCAAATACATAACAGCTAGATCATGTGGGAAGCCTTGTACAAATCTCATGGATACTTTTTTGGTTCTTTCTTAAGGTTTGGTCATGTGTTCTTGATTGTAATTGACAAGATCAGAAATCAGGTTCTAAACCTATCAAAGCCTCAAAGACAAACTTACACAAAAACATTACCATTAAGATAGCTTCTACTCTATTTGTCTCTAAGATACACAACACTTGAAGGTGATTAAAACATTGAAGCAGTAGTGGAATGTTATCACATACCTGCAACAGTGTCGTTTTTAAACGTAGCTTCAATAGCACCACTAAGAAAGAACTGAGGAAGAATCAATGAAGATATCAACACAACAGGAGCCAAAATCCACAAGAAGGAATCTTTCTCTTCTTGAAACGGAGCTGAAACAAGTTTGCTTTCTTCAACTAGCTGGTGGGTTAGGCCATTGAAAGAAACAGAACCAGATTTTCCACGGAATTGCTCAGCTCGAGCATAGTTATTACTCTTTTCCGATTGTTTTATCTCAGGGTTTGGTACAGACCGAGAAGAAGAACATAGTACACGACCTCGGGTCAAGTAATTTGCATCTTGAGGTTTGTTCCAAAGGAGGGTTTCTTAATCAAACAAAGAAAAATTGAGACAAGGGTCACTCTTAATGCTACAATTGAGCTTAAAAAGGAGTTTAATTGAGAGGTTAGAGATACTTACGTCTCGAATCAATTTGTTGACGCGTTGCAAATGTCGAAGAACCCTAAGAGAGAAATGACAAAACTTTGGATAAGGTTTAAGAGAATCAAAATTGGAAAAAAAAACGAAACTTTGATGGTTGATTTGACTTACATGAAGTTGGGCAAGTGAATCTCGAGATGAAAATCGAAATCTTGGAGAAAGAAACCCTAAGCAAATGGTTTGCAATTCCATTTTCGTTAAAGGGTTTTAGCGTTCTTCTTCGTAGCAGCAGCTCTTAAAAACCCAGGCTTTAAAACCTGCACACCAAATATATCTCTTCCA